CTACCTGCTCTAACCCATGCATAATCTTATAAACCTCGATCGTGTCACCCCTCAGCTGCCGTTTCTCCAAGCTAAAGAGCCCCAAGCGCCTTAACCTTTCTTCATGGGGAAGAAATTGAACCAGGCTCCCTTCTGCATGCCAAGCAGAGGCTCTTTCATTGAGCCACTGTCCCCCCAATGGAGAAGTTAGACTTGAGTTGTTTTAGGAGTGTTCCCCCGCCCACCTTTATCTGTTCCTCTTTCATAACTGGAGTTTGTAAAGAACTTCTCTTTCTAGGATTGAATCTTACACACAATATTTCTCTGCCTGGGATTTTTATTTTTTATAAATCCAGCTTCCCAGAAGGTCTTGCCTCTTGGGGCTGTAAAATGTGTATCCAAAGTTCAGCTTTCTGTTTGGGACACTAGTTCATTATTTCTGGCATTTGGAGTCAGGTCCTGGCAGTATTTCTACTGTTCTGTTTTTACTAATTTTCTATATATATATACACACACACATTTATATATACTGGGGTCATTTCCTGCAGGAGCGGAGCTCTGGCAGTAAGGAGCCCAGGTGGGGGCACATGCAACAAGCCCCGCCCCCTGCTCCCAGCAGCCCTTGGTCGGGCCACGAGGAGCAAGAAGCAGCCAGGTAAGTTGCAGAGCGCCCCCGCCCGCCTTCAGGTACAAGCTCTCCCTCCTCTTGACACAAACTGCTCTTTCAGGAACAGCTGTGCCAGAGCTTGTGACTGACCCAAGGTCACATCAGCAGGTGCAAGTGGAGGAGTGGGGAATCAAACCCATTTCTCCCAGATTAGAGTCCGCGCACTTAACCACTACACCAAACTGGAAAGGAGTTTGTAAGCCGCTCTGCCACTCCCAGTGAAGGGCGGGGTATAAATGCAATCTCCTCCTCTTTCTCTTCCTCCTCCTGTGTTTATTAGTGCTTTGGATCTTATTTTGGTTAGAATCATAGAGCTGGAAGAGTCCATTCAGGCCATCTTGTCCAACTTACTGCTAATGCTGTATCATCCCAAAGCTGCCTAAAGGTTACATTCCACAGTCTCAGTCCAGGGCTATTTCTTCCCTCTGATTCGTTCTGCTTTGTGAGAAATGAAAGTGAAATTGGAGCGTTCTTTTTATAGAGGAGAAGAAGAAGAGATTAGATTTATAACCCCCGCCCTTCACTACCCAAGGGAGTCTGAGTGGCTTACAATCTCCTTTCCCTTCCCCTCCCCACAACAGACACCCTGTGAGGTAGGTGGGGCCGAGAGAGCTCTGACAGAAACTGCTCTTTTTTCAAGGACAGCTCTTATCAGAACTACGGCTTGCCCAAGGTCATCCAGCCAGGTGCAAGTGGAGGAGTGGGGAATCAAACCTGGTTTGTTCATTTATTTATTTATTTATCCTTCGGCTTCTATCCCGCTCACCCCCTAGGGGCTCTGAGCGGCTTACAATTATAATTCATACAATCCTAATCTAGGGCCACATATATGTAGGGACGGTGAGAAGCCTACCAGGCACCCTTTATTCTGTTGTAGCAGATCTTCTTGCGAGGGGACAGTCCGGCGGCGACCCTTCTCTGGCGCAGGTCTTCGCAGTTCCACTTTTTCCGGCTGTCGCAAATTCTATCTCCAGGCCCGGACCACTTTGTGCTTCCGCGCATGCTCGCAGTGGCCTCCGTCCTGCGTCGCTCCGCCTCCGCGCCTTGTTGGTCCGGCCTCCTTCGTTCGCCTCCTCGCCTCGCCAGCCGCCATTTTTCTCTGCCGCCACTTTAGCGCTCTCCGCCATTGCTGCTACGCGGGTGCCCCCCCTGCTCTAATAGCAGGTGCCCATTTTATCTACTTGCCCTTTAACGGGCTTTTGAACCGCTGGGTGGACAGGAGCTGGGACATAGGGCCAGGAGCTCACCCTGACCGTGGTGGGGTTCGAACAGCCGAAGCTGTTCACCCTGTTGTTAAAGCAGGCTTTCCTTACTGCCTGCGCCACCGCTCCCAGTCCACCCACTTAACCACTACACCAAACTGGCAACATAGCCTGAACTATGCTGCAACTGGAGAAGGGCTCTTCTTTGTCAGCAGTGCCAGGCAGTGAGAGCCAGGCTTGCTGTTCGGACTGCAGGATCATTTGGGGCATGGGAGTGGTTTGACCTGCATTGTCTGTGAGCAGTACATGGAAGTGATTCTATAAACTTGTCAGGGATGCTCTAGGCCATTGTTGTCAAACATGCAGCCCGGAGGCCGGATCAGGCCCCTGGAGGGCTTCTGTCAGGCCCACAGTGAAACTGGCTTTCTGCTGCTTCTTCCAGTTATGTTGCTGCTGCGTCATTGTTGGTTTGCAGCTTACAGATACACACCTGAACAGCATACTCAAGACTGCCACACCACAGATATTTTGATGCAATAATTCAGAGCAAGAGGCATCAGTTATCAGACACTGTTAAATAAAATATTGCAAGAGTGCTAATGTTTTCAGTATGTTTTGATTTTAAGAGAGCCAGTTTGGTGTAGTGGTTAAGTGCGTGGACTCTAATCTGGGAGCACCAGGTTTGATTCCCCACTCCTCTACTTGCACCTGCTGATGTGACTTTGGGTCAGTCACAAGCTCTGGCACAGCTGTCCTTAAAAAAGAGCAGTTTGTATCAGAGATCTCTCAGCCCCACCCACCTCACAGGGTGTCTGTTGTGGGGAGGGGAAGGGAAAGGAGTTTGTAAGCCGCTCTGAGACTCCAAGTGAAGGGCGGGGTATAAATCCAATCTCTTCTTCTTCTTCTTAAGTTTAAAAAACGAAACCTTTGTGTTTGTGTCCTTTATAAAGTTTATATCTCCGCTACCTGGCATTACATTAATGACACACATGGCCCGGCCCAACCAGGTCTCATTTATGTCAGATCCGGACCTCATAACAAATGCGTTCGACACCCCTGCTCTAGGCTGGTCCCTGCATTGAGCAGGGGATTGGGCTAGACGGCCTGTAGGGCCCCTTCCAGCTCTGTGATTCTATGATTCTAAGTGGAAGAGCTTTTTCACGGCAAGCAGTTGTATTACTGTGTTCGAGCACTGCTTTAAGGAGGCAGTAAAAGAGAAGCTCCAGAAGGGGGTAGGGGTTGTTAGGGATAGCCCAGGCTAGCCCAATCTCATTGGATCTTGGAAGCTAAGCAGGGTCGGCCCTGGTCAGTCTTCAGATGGGAGACCACCAAGGAAGTCCAGGGTTGCTACACAGAAGCAGGCAATGGCAAACCATCACTGAATGTTTCTTGCCTTGAAAATACTGAGTTTAATGTAAAAATATCCATTTGCCTTGGAAGCACAGAAGTTTTACGCCGTATCCCTGACCCTCCATGGTTCCCAGGAAGATGCTGTTAGGGCTTCGTGTGGAGGAAGCGTGGGGGATCAAACCTGGTTCTCCAGATTAGAGTCTGCCACTCTTCACCACTACACCACGCTAGTGCTTTCGCTGGAGCAGTCCTGTTTAGAGATGTAAAATTTCCGGAAATTTTGAAGCTTGGGGGAAAAAAACGGTTTTTTTCTTCCAGTTTTTTCCGGGGGGAAACGGAAATTTTCGGAAAAATTGAAAAAAATGCTACATTAGCATTTATTTTGTCTTTTCTAGATTGAAAGTCATTCTGTTACTTTAGGAACAGAAAATATGACTATGGACATTTTTACTTGGCATGAAGTTATCACAACTAGCATATTAAAAATATAGTGTATCCAAACAATTATTACAAACAGAATACCCACCCACATGCAAAAACAAAACAAACCTTTTTATTCTCTTCTGACAATAGCACCTCCTAAAGGAAGAGATGCATCTTGTTCTTGCATTGGAGAGTTCAGTTTGTAACCTAGGACTTGCTTGTCCTTAGTGCACAGAAATTAGATCAATCTGATACCATATATAT